GTAGATCATACTCATAGTGATCTCCCTGTATTCAGCCTCCTAAACTCTGGGATTACAGGCATGCGACACCACTGCTCAGTCTCAATTGCCCTCAGTATGCCCTGGGGATAGGGCCGGCACAGCATGCTGGGGATAGAACCCCAGTTGCTGAGCTCTGCCTAAGCAGGGGCTTTACTCCACTGAGCTATCTGTACAGCCCTGAAATGGGAGAAATAAATGGAACTAGTAGTCATGCATGGCATACTAGAGCTGTTCTTTTTCACTTCTTGATCACCATAAACTAAACAATTTTTCTCTACCACACACTTCTGTCATGAAACCTTGTGCTGGATCTAGGTGACTATGGAATGAATACTCAGAAACTGTGAGCTGAAACAAACCACTTCCTCCTCTACTTTGTGTCAGGCATTTGATCCTAGTACCAGGAAAGTAATACATACAGAAAATGGATGCCATAGAAGTGGGTGAGGTCCAGAAACTTGTGGAACTGACTTACAGGAGGAACTTGGAAAAGTGTTGGGAATCCTACTCAATCCCAAACTTGCAAAACTGTTTGAATGAAAGTGAAGATAGAGTTTCAGATCTTGAAGATACCATCACAGTTAGTCAAAAGGTAAGAAAAGATCTCTCAAAAACAACTAGGATTCAGGAAAAATAATTCATCATCTGCAAGATGAAGCAAAGATGAACAATGTGAGACTAATAGGCATCAGTGAGAAAGGAGTCAATATAAAAAGATTATGGGCAGAAGTAATAGCAGAAAACTTACCAAATATGGGGAAACAATCTGACATTCAGGTAACTGAAGCATACAGAACTCCAAAGAACATCAACCCAATTAAAAACACACCGAGACATGTAATAGTCAAGACCCCAGAAATTTAGCACAAGACCAATATACTAAAAACCGCTAGAGAAAAGAAACAGATCACATTTAAAGGAAAACTCATCAGAATAATGGCAGACTTCTCTTCACAAACCACGAAGGCCAGAAGAGCATAGAGCAGAGTACTTCAAGTCCTCTATAAAAACAAATTCCAGCCCAGACTACTATTTCCTGCAAAACTCTCTTTCAATTCTGATGGAGAAGTGAAATACTTCCAATGCAAAGAACAACTAAAGAATTTCATGATGACAAAGCCAACCCTACACAGACTACTAAACGATATTCTAGAGAGGGACCAAAATGACTAGAGCTCCTTGAATAAGAACAGAAAGAAACCAGCAAATAGGGCAAACAATTACACAGGAGGAAAAAGGGCTAAACAACGGTAGGTAAATAATATGTCAATCATAAGTCAAAATATCTCAATTATAACCATCAGTGTAAATGGATCTAATTCACCAATTAAAAGAAATAGATTGGCATAATGGATTAGGAAGCAAAATTCAACAATCTACTGTATACGAGAAACATACTTAACTCATAAAGAAATTCATAGGCTGAAAGTCAAAGGGTGGAAAAAATACTACACACCACAGCACCTCAGAAAAAAGCAGGGGTAGCAAACTTGTTCTTAGAACATCTCAACTTCAAACCAAGAATGATCAAACAAAATAAAGAAGTCCACCACACACTGGTTAGGGGGAAAATCCAAGAGGCAAGGATTACACTCATATATATGTATGCACCAAACACGGAGGCACCCAACTATATAAGACAAATCTTAATGGACATGAAAAATCTAATATTCAATACCACAAACTTAACAGGAGACTTTAACACCCCCTTATCCCAAAAAGATAGGTCAAGTAGACAAAAATTAGCAAAGGAGTAGCAGAACTGAACCAGAACTTGTAACAAATGGACTTAGTGGACATATATAGTGTTTCACCCAACCACAGCTGAATACACTTTGTTTTCAGCAGCACTCGGGACATTTTCTAAAACAGACGACATACAAGTCCAGAGGTCATAGCTAAGTATATCTAAGGAAACAGAAATTATCCCATGCATATTATCTGACCACAGTGCATTGAAACTGGAAATAAACAACAAAAGAAACCAGAAAAATCCCATAAATACATGGAAATTAAACAACACCATCCTCAGCAATCTGTGGCCAATGGGCCACAGATGAAATTAAACCAGAAATTAAACAATATCTACAATTCAATGAAAATTCAAGTACAACTTATTGGAATTTATGGGATGCAATGAAAGCAATTTTCAGAGGGAAATTTATAGCTGTG